CGTAAAATAAATGAAATTGTAATTATACTTATTGATGCTGCATTATAAAAAATAATGGCAAACAGAACTGGATTTGTAAGAAGGTTTACTTAAAAAGTGTTGTTATCTTAAAATAATTGTTGTAACATGCACCGTTGTTTTGCAGGAGATGATATGTTAGCTTTAACCTTGATTGTGTTTATAATTTGTTTTGCTTTAGTGTCAACACAGATTTCCTACCAGCTTTTAAATTTTAATCGTAAGCGGTGATAAATGTAAATTACAAGCTGGCAACTTCCATTTGATTGTAGTGAGAGTGCTTTCAGATTAAATCCCTTTGGTTGTCAGGTCACCCAAGCAAACACCAGATCAGACTGTTTCAAACACAGGAGAGGCAACTTGAAAGTAGTGGAAGACGTTCTCTGGTTAAAAAGATTAAAACATATTAGGCTTTGGGCTATCAGTCTATAACCTTTAACAAATGAAAATTTTGGCACACAAATGGAAATTAATCCATTTGTGCACCAACATTTTCACCCATTAAAGTCTGTAGACTGATAGCTGAAAGCGTATGTTTTAGTTTTTTTAACCAGAGACCATTTTTCACCACCTTTTAAATATGTCCTATCCTGGTTACAGCTCTATAATTACTATACTACCAAATCAACATTGGCATGATGTAGAAAATGACCATGAAATAGAATCTATCCAGAGAAACAGGGCATCTCTCCTGATAAGCTCAGTTCATTCTCAAGAAGACGTACATGCATGATATTTGACTGAAAAACCAAGATAACCAAATTCTAAATAAATTCAATCTGGATAGAGGGCATGCATGAAGTCCAGCTAGGGTTATTGTGACTTCCTCACTAAATATTTAAAGAATCGTAGGTACAAGAATTTTTTCTCAAACTGCAGGTATTTTCATCTGTAAAGTGCCGTCATTATTTCAACTGAATGTTGCCAGCTTGTAATAAGATAAATTAATTAAAAATAAAGACATGACCCTCCTAAATGGTAAAATAATGAAGGCAGATAAATAAAAAGTGCTTCTCAAGTGAAAGACAAGATACCTAACAAATAATTTTGTGTATTAAATTATTTCGTTTGGTTAACAGTGATCCTCAAAGACCCAGG